CCCCTTGCATCTAGGTTCATGTTATTTTGGTATGACAACTAACAACTCTGGTTCTCCTTCCTTCGGGCAGTGGCCACATTCCGGAAAGGCGTGCGAGCTGTTCAAATTGTTGGAAGAGCAAGTATGTATCCCCCGAATGTAGATTGTCTTCCACGTGTCATTCCTCTCTTTTCTTTTTTTTTTTTTTTTTTATTTTGATCTCTTCTTATCTTTGAGAGACATACAAAAATATAATCGAAGTTCATTTCTGAATAAAAGTGATTTCGTACGACCTTTAAATCAATATAACTTTAAACTAATTTCTTTTCCAAAAAGAAAAAAAGAAAAAGAAGAATCTTAAATTAAATTCTGAAATTTTAGTTTCACAGCTACAAATAGTAATTTCAACGGTAAAAAAATTATACGAAATAATACACGCGCGCGCGCGCGCACACACACACACGGACACGTGAACATTATTTTTTTCACGTTCAGATAATATTCGATTTGAAGGTCAAGCATACAGAAGTCCTTTCGCTGTTCATTTGAGGCGCATTGCTCATTTCCGTTTAACAAACACAAGAAAAAAAAGAAGAAAATCTTGAAATATATAGATTTGTTGTTGAATTACTTGTTATAATATGCGTACATGTCTTAATGTATCAATTAGAAAATGGAAATGTAAGAGTAAGTGAATTGTAGAATTCTTATGGCCTAGTTAAATAAATGAAAGCTTTAACAAGCATAGCTTTTGATAAAAAAAAAAAAAAAATTGAATTCATTCGTAAATACTTTATAATAAATGAATTACAGCACAATATTTAATTAATCATTTCTATAGTTATATGACAGATATACTTTTTAATTTTTTATGGAAGACTAGATCACATAGACATGTTCGTTGTGCTAATCTATATAACTTCGTCTAAATTAATAATAATTGATTTAAAAGTAGAATATTCGTAGTGTTTTGAATCCCTATTTATGTGATGTATTTTAATTTCTCTGTTTTTTCCTTTTTTTTTACTACTCAAATTGCTATTTACATATTTCTATGGGTGTCGTTTTGAATGTAGTTTTCTGGAGGTATGTAAGTGTTTTTTCGATGGTTATTGTTGCGAGTGAATTGTTAAAGTCAATGATTTAAACACGAGCGATATGATTGCCTTGAGATTTAAATTACTTCCAACTTAATCTTGCATCGGTGTTCATTATCTAACTATACCTATTCGACATGTGTTAGAATATCTTAGAATTAGTATACATGGTGAACAACCTAACTCGTATACCTGAATAACTCCTAAATTATGCGTCGATTGAAAAATTGTTGTATACAGAAGCTGCATGATTTTGAGGAGGGCATGACATAACGTTTATGCTTTCTTCATATGTGAAGTTGTTCTGGAAGTTTCAAGGTTAACATCGTTTTCTTTTGTAATGGAATATCGTGTCTTTTATAACAAAGTTCGAAAGAATGTGTAATTCTGAATAAAAATGTGTTAACAAGTATTGATCCTAAACTCAACAGTTAACGAGATATTTTGCTTCGTTCATCGAAGTCTCTGCTTCGCTATCTCTGCGAATAAAGCAATTTTGGATTAAGAATTGTTAATTTATTTCTATTCAGAGTTTCGTATTCTTCCGAACTCTGTCATGAAAGATACGAGATTCCATTTAAAAAAAAAAAAAAAGGGAAGTTAACCTTTAAATTTTCGAAACGCCTCCACGTGGAAAGAAAGTGTGCACGCGTGTTATGTTATGCCTCCCCCCAAAACTGTGTAACTTTTGTGCAGAATAATTTTTCAACCATTCCACAATTTAGGAATTTGATTAAAGCGCGCGTGTTAGATGTTTCACCCTGTATGTTGCGTGAATTTTTATACATGTTGTGTCAAAATCAGTAATTATACTGATGAAGTTGTTTCTCCATATCCCGTTATTCGCTTAAATTTCTTAAATGTTTTTAACATCGCTATAAATGTTTAATAGACACACGTGTTATATTAAGTATGCAGTACTTATGTGCTTCGGGTTATTGTAAACTATTCTGTGCAAAATATACTTTTATGATTTCCAACTAGATTTTCAGTTTATTTCAAGGTACAGAGAGTAAACAACTATTTAAATACACTGCACTTCTTAATTTGTTTCCTTCTATAAGTATTCATTGGACCGGAATGTTTCTTATTTTTGATCACGTTGTTGTAAAATGAACAATTCATAAATTCCGATTATGTTTCTGCTAACCGAATGCTTTGATGAATGTTAACCCATTCGCAACGGATGACATGTACCAGCACAGCAAAGCCTTATCGGTCGTTTTCACTTAGGATTTCGTGATATCGTTGACGTGCTTGACTGTTTGGACTTGTTACAGTGTCTTGTTATCTAAACGGTGCTTCGGTGCGACGCACGTACAATTATAATTATTGAAAATTTATTGTATCTCTGAAGTTCTACGGTAACGACTCCAACTCGAGCACAGTCACGATGACACTATAACGTAATAGATGTGCGATACTTGTTTCCTGGAAGCAAATAAGTCTGTGTGGTTTCTCCAATGTTTACGTGTCGTGTAGATAAGTGGAAATGCGAGCGATGTGCGTGTATAATAAAACGGAAGGTAGAAAAGAAAGGGGTAAGAAAAATTAATCACCAGTTTCACTCGCATCGCTCATCGGATCCTAACACGATCATTCTCTCACCCGTTTAATTATCTATGATACATGTGCGTGCATATATGTATTCCTGTGTGTACTGTCACGAACATACACATGTGCACGCTGGCACAGCTATTCACTAACATCTCATACATGTGTACTCGCGAGTCCATGCACATATATTATATACACTGGAACATCACAAAAAATATCTTTTGACTAACTTTCTATATGTCTATCTGTTTGAACTTTCTTCTCTTCGTCCTCTACCTCTACTTAGGTGAAGACTTCTCGTATCCAAGTAAGTCCTAATATAGAACGGGTGTATAATATTCATAATCAGTATTTATGTAAATAAGTATATAATATCACACAAATGCGAGATTCTGTAAAATATAGACCATAAGAAATAGGCTGGCAATGGCCGTCATCTTTCAACAAATGTTTTATTCATATTTATGGATCTGCACTTCGTTTTCAAACTTACTACGTACTATCGTGTGTAATATCACTTCGACACTCTGCTAATTTATTTGTCCCGCTGTCGTTTTAATTTTGAACAATTTGATAAAGGAAAAACATCCTTCGTCTTTTGGAAGTTCAACGAAGCACTTCGAATTCCTTCAATACATTGTAAACTGTCTCTTTTTACTATTTGAAAATTATAGTTGTGAAAATAGAGTTACGTATTTTCGTCATTTTATTGTCAATGGTTTGAGCAATTTAAAAAGATTTGTTAATTGTAAAATTATGCAAGGAATTGTTTTGTTTTTATAAAACGTACTTATTGTGTTTTAGGTACACTACCGGCCAAAAGTTTGGAATCACCTGTTAATTTACATCAATCTTGAATTTGCTGTTAATTCTTTATAAACCTGAAATTGGTGTTGTGGAAACGAATAGCACTTGGCCTCACTTCGATTAATTTGAATGACGAAAAGTTCGTGAAGAAATTCTTAAAATTGCTAACTTTTTTTCTGGAAATTTTTGAACAACTTACAATGCACAGTGATTCCACACATTTGGCCGGTAGTGTATGTGTGGAAATATTAACTGACTTACTTTACGCGTTGGCTTACTTTTCGCATTGTATTTATCAAACAGAGTGGAGGTGTTGTTTCTATATCGCGTGTCTATGATAAGCGATAATAGAAAAATGAAATATTCGGTAATTTGGCAAGATTGTTTCGTTTCTCTTCGCTGTTGAACGAACAAAGGAGAAAAATAAAAATAGCATAGTATTGCCATTGAGAAGAAACGTTGGAGTTAAAGTGCAAAGGATTTTTCTTTATCTTTATATAACAAATCTGGATGACATATTTGTCCATTTTACGATAGTAAGCATCGAAATTCATAAGTTACTTATACCCCGTGAAATGAATAGTGCGGATTAATGATATGAATAAATGTTTCACGTGGCCTTTTACACGCGCAATCACCGTTTCATTCTTGCCCCGTTAAGCTTTTGTTACGAGCCAAACAATGCCAGTGGCAAAAGAAAAGTGCTCACAAGATAAAGAGCTGCATTCAATTCGTAAATAGCTTTGTAAATGACGGGTTTCACACTACTTCTGCACAACAACGGTTTCTCCCTGTAATTCTGCTTTGACACGATAGAATCCTACAATCTCTCATACACTCTGTCGAAATTCCCAATCTGTCGCACGAGTTTATCCTTGTTAAAGAGTGCACTCGCAATATCGAATATATTCACACTGTAAGAAGTTGTTACTGCATGCTGAAGTATGATAGAATGAGACATTTATCGGAGGCAAAGGTATCACTAACAATAAAACAATACTCTTAGCTTCCTATTGTGTATGATCAAGAAGAGGTTTGCTTGATTTTATTCAGAAAATCACATCCATATTTTTCTCTTTCAAATTTATTACTTGCCTCTGTGAATTTTTGGCATGAATTTAGTATTGCCTACGTACCAATGGTTAAAATTGCATTATAGGAACGTATATATATATTTCATCTCTGCTTTTGACTACGTTTGTACAGTACAGAGGAGAATCGCTGTACACAAATTGTCTGTTTTCTCAAACTTGTGTATTTATAATCGTATCTGCTGTACTTTCTGACTTGTCCGCGTTGCCACGAGCAGTATTGAGAATGAGAATATATTGCGTATACGTACTTGTTTCACAGTAATATTTAGATAGCATTTTAGTCAATTAAGGCCCATTCCAGTCACGTACGACAACCGTTATTCTGTGTTCAAAATGAGGATTGGCCACACGAATTCACACACTTTTGTCTATAAACAAGTAGTCACAAGCGATATTCTTTGCAATCTCACTGCATGCCCCAATTATTTCCAAATATTAAATGTACTTTTTGCAATAGAGAACGTACGTCTGCTTCAAAGGTATTATTTCCTTCGAACATAAATTACACTAGCGAAAACACAAGAAGAAATCTAGTGACAAAGTAGAGAGACGTGTCACATCGTGGGGTTTTCCGTTCACTCGATTTCTACGGCCAATCCAGTATGAATATAGAATAGTTACATGAATCTAAAAATCGCTCAATTTTTTCTAATTAGGCAAACTTTGTCGGACATAGTTGTACCATTTTATTGTGACGTTAACTTGTCCGTTTAAGGGAAAGTCAAATGTTAATTAAATATTTGAACGTTTGAACTCGGTAAATGCTTTTTCATCGATTAAAGACTGGAACGGAACTGCATTTTAATTCGCAATTAAAAGCAAGCATAGCAGTGGCCAGTAATAGCGATAGCGTAGTGCCTAGGCCTTAGGTAATTAGTGATTAGTTAGGGTAGCTAACATGTGTAGTGGTTTGTTACAGACGACCACCATCCTCCCCCCACATTCACTCCGCCAGAACTGCCCAAGATGGTTCACGTAAGAGGTACAGTTAAACCTCAATCAAAACCATGCTACAATTTTGCAAGCTGCCCTTCCTAATTTTGATAAACTACACGGTATACGTGTACACTATAATCAATCGCTTTCAGTCTCTCGGACGAAGGAACTCGAAGAACTGCTTCACGAAAAGTGCTTCGCTCTCGATTAATCTTTAACAACTGTCTGCACTCGGTTTCCGATGTTCATTTCTTTTCTCTGCATCATGACGAATACGCTTCACCGACCGATTCGGACATTTTACAGGGATTTAACACGATGACATTTTGACTGATTTTCAACAGTGCCGGGTTTCAGAATTTTTAATACATTAAGCTGGAACAATTGTTTAAAATCGTAAATATGAAGTTCTTTTTGCATCACATATCGTTCACATACCGAAGATGTTCTTGTTCGAATAAGAAAAGTGATGTTTTAACACGTTTTGCAGTGGTGCAATGATTCTTTATAATTCTCCACTTGCAGAAATTTCATCAAACTTAAATATGTGACTAGTACATTAAAAATATTAAATTTATAACAACGAGTAAATAATTATACGAAGGCAATTCAGATGAAGATAATTTCTTCGTGCAAATTTTGTAGATAGTGTTGTATACAGGGTGTCCCGTAACTCCTCGAACACCCGGAAATGGGGGATTGCTGAGGTGACTCTGAACAACTTTTTCCTTTACCAAAATGTTGCTTGAAGCTTCGTTTTTGAATTATTAACGAAAAACACTGGCCAATCAGAGCGCGCGTAGGGCCCGCCCCCAGGCACGGAAGCGTAGGGACTCATCCGCGCGCGATCGTGAACAAACGCGTACGCGTGACTTCTGGGTTATCGGTCTCTGTCACAAAAATTTCACTTTGCACCGGAATGACGGCAACAAACCATTTCTCTAAGCCTTATAAAAATAGCGATGCAAAGTCACATTTTTTTGACAGCAACCGATAACCGAGAAGTCGCGGCATACTCGTTTGTTCACGATCGCGCGCGGATGAGTCCCTGCGCTTCCGTGCCTGGGGGCGGACTCTACGCGCGCTCTGATTGGCCAGTGTTTTTCGTTAATAATTCAAAAACGAAGCTTCAACCAACATTTTGGTAAAGGAAAAAGTTGTTCAGAGTCACCTCAGCAACCCCCCATTTCCGGGTGTTCGAGGAGTTTCTCTATAAATGATCAACTTAAGCAGTTCGCGAACTGTATTGTCAATTTTACAGTATACCGTCTTTAAGATTTCATTGAGATACCAAACTTTCTGATATGATTCGTTATAAGAAAATATTTATGCTGCGTTTGATTTTTCTACTTTATTTTCTTATTGGTAACTGTCATAATTAAATCATTCGAGATGAAACCTTCGACGTTGTACATATGTACATAATAAGGTAGAGGTAATTGTGCTCTATTTAGTATCTACATAATGCACCTTTAATACTGAAAGCTATCAACGTGAAAATATCAATCCAATAGTGACCATAGCATTAGTTTAAATACTTAAGTTAAATAGTTAGTTTAAATCAAATAGGTAATGACACAGGACGTGTTAAAAGATTATATTCGTCTAAATACTGTACATGGTGGGCCACGTGAAACAGGTCATCTGATTATCTTCTCTAGCTATGGTAGTAGTGCGAGAAAATGTTTATACGTAATTTAAACGATTTCAAAGATGAATAATACCATTTTTTCTGTTTCTTTCAAGGTTATTAAACATGCGTAATAACGTGACCTTAAAATGACCTTGGACTTCCATTTTTTTTTTCTTCCATCTTATTCACCCTTCGAAACCATTTAAATTACGTATAACAATTTTTTCGTACCACCATGGTTAAATAGAGAAAGTTAGGTGATCTGTTTTACATGGCCCACCCTGTACTTAATGTTAGAAATAGAAATTTGGGTATTATTATTACATTAGTACAATTGGAGGTAATAAATAGAGAAGATTAACTTTAGAAACGTTAGAAGCTACAAGACCTTTGCTACACTTCGTAGCTAATTACTTCGAGTAGTAATTGAATTTAATTTAATAGCAGTGTGTGTACCTACTACAAGCAATTGTTCCACGTTACTGAATTTAAGTGAACAATCTAAAGTTCATGAACGGAAATATTTGGTAAAATTTTTATGAAAGGAAACGATTCGTAAGAATGAGATAATTTCGAGTACCACTTAAAACGAGCTGTTACTTTAAAAACCTGAGCACTGTTTCTAATTGTGTATAAAGTATATACCGAAGAGCGTGCTAAACTATTCTTACACCGATTTTGGAGAAAGTAGAAAAGAGTTTAGGTGTAGAAATGGTGAAAAAGATAACTTGTTTGAAATTGTATAATTGATTATATCATATATTGTTGACTACTACTTTCTCCGGTCTCGATAAATGCATGCAGCTACCGTAGATACATTATAGTTTATATATTGTGTTGAAAGTTTTATTAATTTTACACAAACGTAGCAGATTTAACCTTTTTTTTTTTTTGTAGTTTTCCATTAATTTCCACCGTGCTACCGTACTAACTATATTCTTCGTTGGACAACATAGAGTTACTTTCCTTTTTATCTCTCTTTTCTTTCCTTTCGTTTGTTCGATCATTGCGATTTATTGAGGACATAATGTTTAGAAAACGTAGAGTTTCGTAGCTTTCACAGAACATAGCGTCAATTATATTTCGTTCGACGACAGATTCTTTTAATAGTTACTACAGTATCGAGGCGACATCGGTTTATGATAAACAAAACGCAACGACTAGTTTATTTATCATAGAGAGTAATTGTGGTATTTCATAAATAAAACTGATTACCTAACAGTGCAATGTACAACAATTTGGCATAATAATGTTAATTATAGTTCGAAATTGGCTCTTGTGGTCGATAATTGCTTAGTAATCGAAAGAAAAGGAAATATCAATTCAAATGCTTAATCACCTTATCCGTGGCAAATGAACCTTTCCATGTAATTAATAATATATGCAGCACATTTGCTGGTGTTCGTCTGCGTAAGTAGTGAAACAGGAAATTAAAGACATCAGCGTTTCTCACTCTTTAGCGTTCTTGTCAAATCGAGTCTTATACAGGAAAAATTGAATTATCCAACAAGAAGTGTACAAGTTTTAATCGAAATTTTAGAATTTGCTTCTTTTTTTTCTCTTCTTTTTTCTATTAAATTCAAGCCGAGTAAAAGTGGACGCAAGTTTAATAAATAGTTTGAGAAATGCTGTTCGAATTCAAATATTTTGAGCGATATTGAGTTTTTTGATTAAATCTTTTGTGTTTTGTAGTTATATACTTGGTTTAGGATGTTTAGAACACTTCTTTCAATATTTCTTCTTTAATATATGTAATTCGCATATGTCCTGAATATATTTATAGTTTACTGTCATTTACATATATGCGTTTTATTTGTGTAACTTTATCATAAAATGTAAACAACCGAATTAATAGATGTAGAGAGCACGGTAGATTGGGAGACACATACATACATATGTTATTACAATTTCTTTCTATGGTAACGTTAGACAGAGCATATATTCATATTTTATATTTCATTTTCCCGATTTATTCAATATGTATAGGTGGTGCTTCACCTAATTACCGTAATATATGCTTAATTATTATTTTTGTATTTTTTTTTTTTTTTTTTTTACAAAGAGTACGTGCCGTAATAGCTAGAACTTGCTTGTGTCGTGAACATTGCTTGGTTTTCACTAATACGTTAAACATGTTTCTCTAAAGGTTCTTGGTTAAAATCGTCAATTATTTGAGATATCTTTTTCAGTCAGAAAGAGACTTAAAACATATTTGAAAGTTGATTTGTACTCGAAACCTCGACATATTTTACGTAAATCTTGTAAAACACAAATTCATATAATTCGTAACGCCAAGTATGAATAATATAGAAATTGACATTCTTCGGAACGATCAAAATTCTTTCTTTCTTCATTTCTTTTCATTTCTATTTCGAACAGAAACTATGTTTGTAGTAATACTACAACTAAACCTACCAAATTTTCAGAAATGTTTCCTATAGTTGTGCAAGAAAATTGTCAATACTATCAAACTGGGTACCTTGTATATCCTCCATTAGACACTAATAATCCTAATAAACTACATATTTGTGCTAATGTACCCACATTTACAAGAAATTTACACATGATACAATTGAAGATTATCGAATGTTTCTCTCAATGCTACATGTAAAGTACAATATTTAGAAAATTAATAACAAAGCATGTAGCTGACAGAAAAATGTGGTAACTAAAATGTGGAAAATAATGACGAGAATTTAATATCTTTCACACTTGTTAAATATCTACCCGTTGTTTTTCTTACGCACTTATTGTATTGGATGATTGCAAAAGTTCGTGCCCGATTTGAGCGGTGTATCTTTCGATGGGAATGTAACATTACGCTAAAAGAAACATCTGTATCGAAGTTGACAAGGTTCCCGCCACCTCTGAAAATCGGGCACAAACTTTTGCAATCATCCAATATATAAATACTGACAATATTGGTCTTACTGTAATATTAATGTTAATATTAATCTAATAGTTCTACTATACGTAATAAGAAATATTTCCATTCCTTAAAATAATGGATACTGTTTGACGTATTCTTGAAAACCATGTAGTTTGCCAGCCCATTGCAATTCTAGTTATTTACCATTAACAATGTGGCACGTGCAGAAAACAGGATAAGTTATGCGTGTCTGTAAGCATGAGGCTGTAGGCTCTTGTCAATAAAAAGTAAAATGCACTATAACAAAAGGAGTTAGGCCACGATCAGCGTGGTACTCAGCAATTGTCTTAATCATTGTTGCTTTGTTTATTAGCTACGTTGAAAGAAAAGTCTAGATATGCGTTAATTCTGATTTATCAATTTTAGGTGAGATTAGTCGTGACCGAGATGACCCGAACGGTAAGATTCAGTATTTATTCTCTCATTAATTACATGTAATAATACTGTTTGTTAATTTAACTATACTAACATAATTGTACTTATTGTTATAATTCATTTGCAATCGAGATTCTATAACTTCGTCTTACGATACTCTAAAATAATTGATTTTTAAAGAGTTTTTAAAGTATACAAAAGCTAAGAAAATCCAATGTTTTCTATACAAATAAAATGAAAAAAGAATCAAATCTGTATGGTTAATAATACGAAATATAAAACTTTGCTTAAGTGGCCAAAGTATTTACGTAAAAATCAGGGAAAATTAGTAAATTTTATTAACGATATATTCGTGCCCTTTAAAAAATACATTATGGACATAGTTCTGAAATTAATTTCCCTGTTAGTCTTACTAATTTGTGTTATGTAAACAATACACATGTACACATAATATATGAATATTGCACATATAACTAATACAGGATTTTCAGCCACTCTCGGGTGAAAATTTGAGAACTGATTCTAGAAGCCGAAATAAACCGAAAATAAAAAATAATAAAATTGCGTTTGAGACTTGGTTTTATACTTATAAACGTTTAAATATATCCCTGAAACCGAGCAAACCTCTCTACACCACCGAATATAGTGCGCGTCGAGACGTGGGAGCTACGGTGAACCTGAAAACCAACCACACATGGCCAACACATTATGTACCTCGTACAGGTCGTAGAATAGAAGACAGGAATATTCGGCACCGTAAGTTACTGCCTTCTTTTCTACAACTTGTACGAGGTACGGTGCCGGCCATGTATCCTTGATTTTGAAGATCACCGTCTTCCCAGTGTCTTGACGTGCACTATATTCATCGGTGTAGAGAAGGTTGCTTGGCCACAGGGATATATTTGAACGTTGATAATTAAAAAATGAAGCTTCGAAGGCAATTTTTTTATTTGTCATTTTCGTTTTGTTTCGACTTGTAGAATTGTCCTTTAAATTTTCTCCAAGAAGTAGCCGAATACCCTATAAATTATATACACATTATTACCTATGTTACAGCGATGAGAAATCACCGGAATTCCGTTGGAATGACTATGATGAATTCAACGAAACAGGTGAACAAGGTGAAACCGAATGTGAATCGAACGACGAACGATAGTTTATCCAGTCCAAATCAACCGTACAATCAGAGGTATTTATTTTATTCTTGATCCAAATCTGCCCTTCGATGTACACAACCTGGACGGGCATCGCCTATGCATTCGCTTTCCATTGTCCGCATTTCTAATTACTTGCGACAATTATCTCGTCACGCATATTAATCATCGCGTGCAAATTTTACTACTGAGAATTTACTATACAGGTACTATTGAAACAGAAGTTGATGTTGCTAGAATTCATTGACTTTTACAGCAAAATTTAGTTAAGTTACGTCGTTTAGTTTACGTTATAAAATATTTTTTGTACGCTTAAAGTTCAACAAGGTGTAATTAGTGAAAACGTAAGGATATTAAATTCGATCTATTCAGTTGATACATACTAAACTATTGTGTAGTGAAAATTTTTCGTTTGAAACTATACACTTTCTCTATCACATGAACTTACAGTTGATTTTATTTCTCTTGTATAATTGCACGTCTAGAACCACTCGAGCCTTACATACACACTAATATGTAGCTGTATACGTTGTATACAATGGGTTATTCAAACTGTACATGCTTTAGTTCTTTCTTATTATATTGTTTTATGAACAGTTTAGGATATTGTTTCTTAATGTTATGATGAAATTGTTTAAACATGTACTTTGAATAACCTAAAAAAGCTTTGAAACAATTCTTTCAAATGATTTATTTCACGAAATACATAAATACTTTAAGAAAACTCGTATTGAATAATTTCGTACCTATGCAGAGTGCACTATAAAGACCAGCACAGCCTTCTTTAAACAATGTATAGATATATTTCTTTTTTAGTTAGCATGTTTTGACAAATTATCGAACGTAAACAGTGACAAGTATTTTATCACTTAAACTTTTCATTTACATATTCTCGGTAGAGAACTTCCATGCGATCCAGAATCACATTAATTCATATTCGTTGATGCGTATTCATCCGAGCATTTGTTTCGAATGAGCCCTACATAACCGCCAAATTAACAAGAGTTCAAAATTCTAATCTTTTAAACTTTTAATTAGTGAAAATGACGAACAGAACGCGAGCGAAGCATCTGCTGAGCCACTTGGTCCGTTCCGCCCTTTGTTGATACATCAATGTATAATTGGTGGAAGCGATCTAGTGAGGTCGTAAATGAAAGCATTAAACAACGGCACCTATTGACGTAGCCGCACTCAGGGCCGTCCATCATTTGTGAATTCATATTTAAAATTTCTGCTTATACTCTTTCATTTAAACTATAGAGAATTAAGCCTCCGTCGCTTCCTGTTCAGTAGTAATTCCCGTATTAGTAAAAGTTAACCTGCAGCTATCAACGATTAAGGCGCAGACAAATTTTTTAAATATACTGCAACGAAAGAACCAATTTGGAGTTAACATTCAGACGGCGGTCCGTCCGACGACTTACGCACGCGAGTATGTCTGGGTCCGTTTAGACCCAAATAATTTTTTGTTTTGTTTAGAGTGATTGATTTATATTACTATGTGTGCATTATTTAAATGCATCTTTAAATGCACTCTCACTTCGTTATTACTCTAACATGAACAAAAGATGCACTCTAAAGTCCGTTCAATTTAAGAGTAACCTCGCTTCGCGCATGGGACGTGCCTAAGTCAGAGCTAGAACGTCCAAACCCTCACTTAACCGCCTACGTTTTTCTCCGTCTTACCCTCTGCTACGCTCTCCGTCTACTGCAATGAAATTAGGTACTTTATAATATGTCTTTTAAGAATTTAAATGATTTTGAATCGTTCCCTAAATATTGATATTTTTATTTTGTCCGGTTAAATTCATACAACTAGCCACTATTCGTCTGTCATAAATCGCTGCGTCATCATGCACACAGTAGGTGCGCATACTTTTAGACCACCGGGTAGATTCTCTCCACTCTATGCACTGTTTACATCAGAGCCGCTTAACTTCTTGCTCACGAGCAAATTTCCCCTCCCAAGGTTCTCCCACTATGCGACTGAGATGGTCTGAGATGGTCACGCTCGAGTTGCGTTGAGGTGGGAGGAGCACGCGAGGAGTCCTCCCACCACAACACCAGCGACTGCCGTTGGTTTATGTTACACATTCTGCGGGTTCGTACCGTATAGTGGGGGAACCTCGGGAGGGGTAATTTGCCCGTGAGCAAGAAGTTAAGCGGCTGTGGTTTACATTGTCGTCGCTCTTGGGCCTAGCCCTAGCCCCCACATTGGTAGGTAGTAGTGGGAACTGCGCAGAACGGACGAAAATCGGTCTGAGAGCGAGGTTACTCTTAAATTGAACGGACTGTAGTAGAGTCAGATCCGAACAGACCCAAACATGAGCTCAAGTGTTAATATCGAACGACTCTGAGCGAGGTTCGAGCTCATCTCCTTCGAATTGCTGTTTTGGCGCTCGGATTACACGTATTTTTACGCACTATATCGGTTCCACCAACTATACGAATCACGACCAGTTTAGGCATTCAATGTGGACGTGTTTAAACGTATCAGAGACCCGGACATTTTCAAACGTTATGTAGTGAACACAACACATTCACGTAAAATTAATTAATGTTTATTTAAATGACAAAATACTGTTAAATTTCAAACAAGAGTTATTTTATAATAGTACCAGAAAGAAAAACGCATGACATGAGATTATGAAAATATTTAAAAAACCTTTAGAAAAATGCAAGAAACGTGGATAATTTTTAACACTTGAAGACAATAAAATTGGCACTCCGCAATATTTTTGACTATTGCAATATTTTTATAAGTGGCTTTTACTTTCACGTTGTACCCAACTGTTCGAATTAGAATTGATGCTTGTGCAGAATCTAAATCGAACGAATAAAGTGGCAGTTATGCAGTTCTTGTTCAGGGATGAATACGCACGTTTATGTCATCACACAGTCTTTTAATTGTTTACTTACCGTACGATTATCTAAGTTCATTATTAATGCATTATTACTCATTTTATCCAAATAGCATATTCTTGTGAATATCGATAAATTTAATTATTCGTTTTATATCTTCGTAAGTCTTGAAAATCTTTTCGTAGTTATCAATTCATGTAGTAGTGAATTAATATCATTGTAAATTTCGTGATTTTAGACTTTCTTTAGGGAAAAAAATTAATAGTTTTGTCAATTCTAGCGAAAATTCAATATTTCTTAATACCGTCTACAATCTATCAAAAAATTGTTTGATTCAGTTTAACAAAAGTTGTATTTAAATTGTATAAAAAATTTTAAAAATTAATACAAGAGTTAAATGTTCAATCTGTCACACAAGAACGTACCCGCAATATCTGTGCAAAAATTTGTCTATCACAAAAGTAACATATACAGTTCGGAAGTACATATAAAAAGCTATTACACACTTGTTCAATAATTGGTCTAATATTTTTTATTGTCGATTATTGCTTGGTAACTTCTTGGCATGCTTTCGACTAATTTGTGAATGTACGAGACAGGTAATTATCTTCATGTTTTACGAATATGATGTATTAATGTTGTCACCATAAAAATACGTTTTTGTCGTAGCTTGAGCTTTAGTATTGACCGTAGGAAATCAAGTACATATAAGTGGTCTTTAAAGTCACTAAACTATATTGTCCCAATCGTGATTATCATTTTTACAAGCTTCTGCTGATCGATTTTAGACGTATTTTTGTAAGCAGGGATTGTTGGTTTACGTTGTCTTGTATTACGATACTCAATGCTCGTTTTTACTTTTAAACGATGTTTCATTGGCAGGATGCTTACATTTACATCTTTTTCTTTTGGTAATGTAAAACTGTCTTTTACGCAGAAATAGTGTTTGATTTTTGTAAAAAGTCGAACGATCAATTTATCTCCCTTGGTTGTAACGGTTCACTTTGAATCTCAATTTTGAAGGTTGCTGACACATTTTGTGTACCCACTTCTTAACAAAGTATTTGGACTTATGGAAGTAATTAGTCACATTTGCAAAAGTTATTCTTTATCCTTTTGGTTATGAACACAAAAAGACTGCTTCAAATTGCCTAAAGCATGTTGCATACATTTCGAAAGGAACCGTATTTTTCAATTACACAAATCTAAATGAAATTCGTATTGAAAAAGAACGTATATTTTTAAATTATCGTGCTCTTGTTCGTTTTTCGCCTGGATTTTTGCAAATATTGCGAGTACGGTTTTGCGCGACTCGCTACATCATCGGAGTTTCTTCGCTTCAACCATAGAAGTATTGTATCCTTCAATGTTTTCTCGCATTATTTTTTTTTCTCTTATTGCGTATATAATTAAGAAGGTAACATGTAAATACATGCTATAGTTTTAATTATTTTCAAGTGAAAAGTTTATTTATTTATTAATCTAGGAGTATTGGCGTCTTTACTTTTATTAGTACCTTTATAACAGACGTAAATTGAGGCATGTACACTCTCGTTCATAAGTATTAGGATACTTACTAAATATGAAGCATACTGAATTCTACCGAATTCTGCGGAATTCTATTAATATCTATTGAAGTCTTTTGTAACCTACGGAAATCTACTACAATCTACTTAATTCTACTGAATTCTACTAAACCCTACTTAATTCTACTTAATTCTATTAAATTCTACTAAAATCTATTGAAATCTACTAAATTCTACTAAAATCTACTTAATTCTACTGAATTCTTTATTAACCCTTTGCACTCCTCGCAATTTTTAATATGACCTACCAGAAACTCTGAATTATTTTTACTATGGGCTACCAGCTACAGCAAATTCTCTACAAGTGTCAGTCAGTTTGGATTCTACAAGTGTCAGTATAGATGGACCTACGCCTAGGTCTGCGTCATTGCTGCGCCTATGTTATCTCGCTCGCTGTCAGTCAAACGTGTAACGCTACACCACTCGGTTTCTTTTACGAGATTTCACGTCTCAACAATTCATAATAGAAAAATATAATTTCTATAATTTTACTTTTTTTCATCTGAAATTTTTTTTAACATGTTGGTGAGATTTTTCTGATGAAAATGACATCAAACACGATATAATTTGAACAACATTTACTTATT